GAGGACTATGGGAGCAGGAGGAGAGGACTATGGGAGCAGGAAGGGAGGACTATGGGAGCAGGAGGGGAGGACAATGGGAGCAGGAAAGAAGAACTATGAGAGCCTGGGCTGCAGAGTGAGAGCCTACCCAAAACACAAAGAGCAACTGTGCAAGCAAACGTGCACACATGCAAACAAAAACCCTCACTACGCTTTCCTTATTGACCAGGGAGACATCATTTATGTCCCTGTGAAGAGTGCCAGTGGCCTCCTTCATGGATGATCCAGTCTGCTAGCTAGGAGCCAGGGCAGCCCTGGATGTGGGATATTTGTGAGATCAGATCTCTTCTCTAGACTACTGTCCACAAACCAGCCTGGCCATGGTCCCTTCTGCCATAAAGAAGTGATTAGAATTCTGGAGGTTTAACTCCAAAGCCCTCGGGATACTTGATGAAGGAACTAAGATTCAGAGGCTGCAGCAGGCCACTTATCTCCAAATACACCAACCTAGGCTGCCTCTTCTTGCTCAGCAAAAGAACCCAGAATCCCGCCATGCAGGAGCCGTCCATTCTGGCAGTGACATTTCCCATCCTCCAGCCAAATGCAGACATGTGACTACACTCTGGTCCAAGGACAGCCGCTTCTAGGAAGTGTCTTTGCAGGGTGAAGACGGTCTGTCTCGTCCCTGTCTTCTCTTCCCTGAGGCAGTGAGAGAATGTTGGTCGGAACTGGGGCAACCGTCCTATGTATGGGTTCCAATGGCAACAGAATGGATGGGAGAGATTCCTTGACCCCCAGGGGTCTCCCTCTTTCCCTTGCTTCCTCCCTGTATCACACTGAGACTTAAAAAGAGGAATTAAATGCTCCTTGTTTAAGAGATTGCTGTTTTATAATTTCCACTGCTTGGGGCCAAATTGAATCTTAGCTGACACAAAATGCAGGGCAGAGTGGAGTGGAGCCATGAGCAGCAGAACTTAAGCATGTGGTATTGGCTTAATGGACGTGTCCAGGTGGCAGGGACTCAAACACAGTGCGAGCTAGCTAGTGACCCTCGCTATACAGAAACACAGCCTTGGATAACTCTGGTCCTCGGTGGTCTTTTGAAAAGCAGCCTGTGTTCTGGACAGGAGTGTAATAGGAAGCAGCAGGGGACATTCATGATGTAGGGCACATTAGTGGCTGCTTTCAGCACCATGCTAAGAGAGGGATGGAGACTTTGACTAATGCCGGCCAGGAGACGAGCAGAAATGAAAGGGACACAGCTGTGCTAATGGGGCTGCTGTGGCCAGTTCTCCAATCTGTAGCCACCAAGAGCTGGGCAATTTGGAGGTTGAAAGGGTTGAAAACAGGGATTGCTGTGTTTTTCAAAGGACATCTGCCGTCAAAGTGGTGTCTGCAAGTCGGTACACTTAGCAGAAACTAAAACCAGTGCCCCATCCCAATGGCTGGGGACCCATGTGAGTCCCTGTTAGGACACTTCCTCCCCAGCTGTGCCATTGCTCAAGCTGGCTCAAAGTCAGTGCCAAGGTGCAGGGTAGAGGCAGGCCTGCCTACTGTCTGCTTCTCTCTCAGGGGAACTGGGGGTGGCCGTCTTTGAAGGTTCACGTGGAGCTGCATCAGTCAGTGCAGAGACCTCGTGGCTTTTGCTCCGTCCTCCTCTGGTGTGCACCTCGTGGTGTGCACCATCCTCGTGGTAGCACCTGTGCGCACCTGTGTGTCCACCATCCTTTGCCACCTCATCACCCACATCTTCACCCTCACAGACTGGGAAGGACTAACGCCCAAGCTGAGCCTGCAGCAAGCAGCCTCACCACCCGTTTCCCACCCTCTCCCCTCTCTCCCAGCCCCTTGGTGGCCACTATTCAAGCCTAAGTTTCTAAAATTCTTTCATTTATAAGGTTATATACATGTGATTACTTGGCTTATAATGCTTGAAGACAGGTTCCCTTTGATCCGCTGAATCTTCATGCCTGTCTTCCCCATGGAGCCCTCGGGAGCCCTAGGGGAGGAGCTGTGAGCTGCATCCCTAGCTTGCACTGCACAGGCATTCTAGTTTGCTGGCTGGCTGGGATGCACAAAGGAACAGTGGCCGACTGACCCCTGTGTCTCAGAGGAAGCAGGGAAGAAGGCACAGGAGGGCATGACCCCAAGGATGAATCAGGAGTTCTCAGGCTAGAGTGATACAGGAAAGGGCACGTGGGGGCAAAATCCCGGACATAGGACTCCAGGTGAGGCCGCCAGCCCAAGAGTGGTTTGTGTGTATAGTGTGCTTCAGACTGAGAAGCGTGACTGGCAAGGGAGAAGTTCTGTATAGTCAGGCAGAGGGCGGGGCAGAGGGGACAGGGTTCTGTTGTTCTCACCCCAGCTCCAAGCATCTTGCTATATGTTTTCTCTTCCTTCCTTCCTTCCTTCCTTCCTTCCTTCCTTCCTTCCTTCCTT